TTTATTTTGTTTTATATATATATTCTTATCAGTATTTCTTTGAGAGAACGCACTCATTATATTCGCTAACACAATTAATTTTTTTTTCCTCGAAAATATTTTATTAATAATGCAACACAAAAAATTTTATTATGGTGTACTAAAATGAAGTTCTATATATTCTGCCTTGTGAAGTGCTTGTTTTAGTTATTACAAAGCATTTATTGTAAATAAGATTATAATCTTAATTCACAGAAAAAATTTTGTATTGAATAAAGAATAGGAAGCTGCCATCTTTTATGATTTTAAGTGTAATTATATGTCTTACTATATACATATGTATATACAATAAATAATATTATATATAATCAATTTATATGGATACTAAATATTGCTCCCTAAGAACGAAATTTTCGAATTATAAATATATTTGCATATTTTTGGTTATTGTAAACCATATAGTCTAATCAAATTTAAAATTGCACTTATCAGCTCACTTGATTTGAGCGCTGTACTCTTGTCAATAAAATGTACATGTGAAAGCACGAACAAAGTTATCATAGTTCAATTGAATTCAAGGTAGTTTGTACAACCTTCATAAACTGGTATAATCGTTCGTTATTACGCTTTAATTTCATTAAGGCGTTTTATGGAACTTATAACAGTTCTATAGTTGTTGGCTGAAAGCCACTCTGTAACGTTTCGGGAACTCAAAATAGCTTCTATTTAATTATTCCAGTCCATTATACCAATTCATTTTTCGAAACGCAATATCTTTTTTGCGAGGAAAAAAATATTTTTTAGCTAAGATTATTAAACAATTCTTTTACTTCCAAAAAAAACTATTGCAAATATGAAAAAAAAAATTTAAAAAAAATATTTAACGAACGTATTCTTTGTAACCTTCGATATAAGTTCATGAATCATCACTTCTTCCATCGAGTGACTCCTCGATGAGTCGAAACACGCACATAGTTCCGCAATGATCTCAATTTTAGGTGCCATACCCTTTTTATTAGCACTAACCTTTAACATTCCCGGCGCACTTGATTGGTGTCTCATAAAACTTATATATGTACATACTGATGTACATACGTATATGAAAGGCTATGCATTGTACTTGTTCGTAACTTCGCTGATAATCTAAATGTTCTCTCGAAACCAACCCGCATTTTTGCTGATTCAGCGACAGATTACAAATACTTGAGTAATGTCGTTTTATAGACATTGATTTTATGTACATATATGTATGTATGTACTTGGGTACAAAGCCGGCGCATCCTAGTCAGTGACTAATATCGGTGAGTTTACATTTACATTTCTATATATAGTACATACATATGTATGTATACTTGAGTGCTTATGAGTTTCACTGCGCATGATCAATGGCGCCGAGGAATTTTGACGCGTCATCGTTTGATCCTGCTGAGTAATAAATTAACAAAGTGGGTAGTAACAGTATTAGTAACTGATTTCACAACAAGTGAAATAAAGGTGTGTGTGTGTGAGTGATGAATATTCGAAACACTCAAGTAAGCGATTATGATATATTCGGCTAGCTGATAATTCAGTGGACAAGTGAAATTACAGTCGTGGCGTGTAAGATGTGTAAAAAACGTAACTTTATATGTAATAGTTATACAGTTTGAATAACATAAAATTATAAGATAAAAAAAATTAATTCACAACGAAATAAAATTATTTTTTTTAAATATCAGCTAAAATTAAAAAAAAACAAAAAAATACATATACATATTTAAAAACAATTCTGATTACTTAACGCATTTAATATATAAAATCAAATAATATTGTTTCTAAAAATTTCTAAAAAAAATCGAATCAAAATTTTTTTTGCTATTTAGTGAATTTATGAATTAAAAAATTATATATACATACATATGTATATTATACAATCAAAATTTTTTAACCTTAAACAATTTATCAAAT